TTTAATTTCCGTTTTGCTTTTGTGGCTTAATCTTGACTTTTTCAAAGTTTTCTTCCAAGTTAATTAATTATGCCTCTTCATTTCATGTTGCCATATGCAGTGGAGGTTGCTCCCGAGGCAAGGGTGGACCGGCCATAACAAGATCAGGTGGGTGAGGGGAAAGTAACTAACTGAAAGGATAGTTTGAAAACGGCAGCAAAGCTCCATATAATAATCCAAGGTCATTGGAATTTGATTGGGAGGGAAATTTTGGGTCAAGGAGACCTTTACTGAAGAAGAGTGGCTTTGGGCGAGAGAGTCTTGTATCGCAGGCACTGTTCTCCGCTCCAAGTCTCTTTGTCAAATTTAGGAGTGGAGAAGCTCTCCAAGGTTGGCTGATAAAATAATGGATCATGTCAATAACTCTGGTATTCAATAATCTGGATCTTGAGGGCCTGGGTAATACGATAAAAATTCCAAAGGGAGCTGGGTGGGGCTTCACGTTCTCGGGCTGGTTTGGTCGCGTGAATTCCAAGACGTATCTTGCAGCGAAATATTTTATTTTGATAATAGTGAATAAATCATGGCGGGGTGTTCTGTCCTTTAAGATAAACATACTCTGGTTAGAATGTCCAAAGCAAGGAATCATCGAAATACAGAGGTCATATTTTGGTGACTGGCACATCTTCTCCTTGGAAATGGCGAACCACTGGCCGTAGAAATGGATGATCGTTGAACATCACACGCTTTCTGAGCTTGGCTCTCCACTGATTGATAACTAAACCACCCACTGTAAGAATAAAAAGAGTATTAGCGACCCGTAGCCTGTGGGCTGTTGGGGACCAGCATTGGTATCGTCCATAGGATCTTCCAATACATCCCGTGGAAACATCAACAGCTTCCAATGCAGCGGAGGATTATCCCAGTTTCAGCCAGAAATCGTGAGCTTGGCTGTTAGTTAGGCCTGTCAACGCCAATTCCTACGAGAAACTTTCGCAACTCTTTTCCTGATAACTTTGCTCCTTTGCTCCTTTTCTTTTTTCCTTTTTGTTCTCTTTCTGGCCAGCTGTTGACCAGTGAGCGCCGGTCACGGACACATAGACATAGGACTCGAAGGACCGAATGGATGTAGGGATTTGCCCTGTGCAGGTGCAATGCATCCAGTGTTGAGTGACTCTCGATGTGAATCTGTAGCTATTGGTTGTGAGTTTCCGCGTTGGTTTATCGACTACAGCACTCACTACTGCTGGAATCTACGTGCGTGCATGCGTTGGGCAGAAGACATAGCCAGCTCAGGAGTGATGAGAGGACAACGTCATGGTTGAAGATATTTTCACAATATATTAAATGTACGAGATTGCTTGCGTATCAAGCCTCCATCAACGAACGCAGGGTTATTATTGGGAGGAGGAACCTAAGTTTCAATCGCAGAAGCCCCATAAGCGGCCGCGTCAGGAGCCAGGTTCCAAGCCCGTTGAACTAACCACCCACTACTCGTCCCCTGCTCCGTACCCTTCCTTCTCCACGTCCTCACCCATCCAACCGCCCTCCTTCC